GCATGTTCTTCTCAAACAAACAACTCCAGAAACAAAAGCTTGGCTTCAGGGTCAACATAAAATCCTCCCTTCAACTTTGCTCCAAACCCACTATCAAAGCAGGCTGTAACACTAGCTGGAGTGTCGGTCCGTCACTTCCTTGGTCGTGAAGGTAGGGGTCAGGCAGGGATCTAGATCGAATGGAGGTGGTTTCTTAAATTCCTCCTCCATCTTTCGTTTTGGCGAGACTTTGGATCTTGAATTTGTAAATCTGAGGTTCGAGTTCAGATTCATTGTTTATGGGAGCTTCCGAGTATCCATCCAGGTTGCTTCCGAAGTTTCATCGGATGCTTGTAAAGAAACCATCAACTCCAACAACGGTCAGAGGGTTCCACCAAGGAGAATAGTCTCCACCGCCACCTGGCACACATGCCAGTTCCCCATCCATAGCAGCCCTACCAGTCGTGCACCAGATTCACCATCCTTCCTCACGCTTCAAACAGCAAGGATTGAAACAACTTTGAAACACAAACACAACACACGACACAAGCAATTGAGCACAAAATTGAAAATTCCAAATCCAATCCGAGAAATGTGAGAAAATAATAATAATAATAAAAGGACACACCAAGAAGATGAGATTCCGGAATGACGGAAAGGAAGGAGATAAGGCCAGAGTGGCCAAAAAACTTGGCGATGAAAACGTTGGCGTGGTCTTAGGCCTCGACGCTGTGGATCCACTGAAGACAGGGACGCAGAATACGGGACTCACTGCATCCCTCTCGCAAAACGCTACACCCATTGCAACTCATCGAATTCGATTTGGAGTTGTTTGTTTGGGAAGAACATGCTTTTTTTTTTTTTTTTTGGCAGAGATTGAGAACCCAGCTTGTGCCTGGGTTTGTGATGAACCTAGGCGCAAGATGGGTTCGTTGACAACCTAGTCTTGTGAGCTAGGTTCATCTTGGGTTTGTCAAGAACCCAGGACGAACCACCCAAGCGTGCTTTGGGTTCGTCGCAAACCCAAGATGAACTTGGGCGCGATGAGCCCAAGTCACGCCTGGGTTCAGGATGAACCCAGAAAAGGTCTAAAAAAAAAAAAGAGATGATAACGGAGGGAAAGGAGAGGATAAGACAGAATGGGGAATAAAATGGGGGCAAATTAGTGAAGATTTGAGGGCTTTGATGGAGGAAGGTTTGGCAAAGAAGAAGAAATCAATGGGATTAGAGGGGGATTAAGTTCAAGCAAAGGTAAAGAGGATAGGGGATTTGGGCTTAGGAAGAAGATGAGGATAGAAATGGGAAATGAAAAGATAAAGGGAAACAATCATTTTTTTCTTTTAATTATTTTAGGACCTATTGATTACATGGAAAATAAATCTAATTGCCAACTCATCAATTTTGCCATGTGTAATCCTATGTCACCATTAAAAAGAAAAAAAAAAAGACATTTAACGGATAATTGTGCCATGCTGTCACTTAACTGATAGAAGGACTAAAAAGGGGGTCGGATTTCAAACAGTAAGGATCAAAAAGGGGATTTTTTCGGTATAAGGACTAAAAAGGGCCTTTTTCCTATAGTAGAGGGACCAAAAAGGGTATTTAACCTTGTAGATACATGATATGATAAATCTACAGTAAAATTCAACAATCCTTCAATATCTTTTGTACTATTGTGGCTACTATACTTAAATTCTTTGAATTCAAGGTCTAATTGACAACAATTTATATTTGTATCCCAAAGTGCAATTGCTAATTTAGGAGCTTAGACACAATTTTTAATTCTTTAGATTAATGAACTAAGGTATCTCTTTCATTAACCTTAAACTTAAGGATTCAATTCTTGTATTGTTTTATTTGTGTTAGGGAAGGTGTTATTAGGAGGTTGTACTAATCATTTTCTGTAAATATAAGATTGTAAATAAATCATATTCTTATTTAAAATATTCTTTGGTATATTTTATATTCCAACATATATTCATTCTTAGAACTACATGCAAATT